ATGTACGCGGTATTTTGTTCATGATATATGCTTGTGACCGTTTTTTTGTGTGTGTGGAAAATCTTTTTCGTGAAACTTTGTTTCGAAATTTGTGATGGTTTTCTTGAATTGTGCTAACCAGTGGCGGTACGTTTCCACTATATTGTTAGACCGCTAAACACATTCTTCAATTAGAGTTTGATTATAGGCCAAAAACATTTCATCGAAAATATGAAATCAGTTTTGCGTATTTTTGTTGGCTGTATATGATTTATGATGTATGATGGATGATATATGCTGATTTTGTTGGCCGTATGATGTGTGGAAGTGACAAAGTACCACATCAGTGCCGTGGTTATTAATGCCTGTGTGCATGGGCCCCTGTGTGCTCTGGGATTATGATGATATAATCCAGTTATAACGTGGTTTCGGTAATGCGTATCGGTATACGCATACGCCACGTACGTTACAGCCATAAAAATACGCAAGAGTGATAGTAATTGCAGCGATATCAAAATGTTTACTGCCAAATGTGTTGAGTTTCTGATTTCTATTGTGGTAGACTTTTATCGTTACTTGTTTTCTACGCTTCATATGTGATCTCTTATTGTATTTTGATTGTTGTTATGTGTATTGATTGTGGGTGATTTAATCGGACAGAAAGACGTTTCTCTCGTTGGGTTGAGTTAGGACGATATTAGGGTAGTAATATTTTTTTTTGGAATTGGTTAGGCTCACGTTAAAGTGTAGAGCAGCGAGGACGCTGAAGCGATGACAGGGTGTCATCGTTTTGGGGAAAAGGGAGATAATGTAACGTCTATTTTATACGCGTTACATGGATGAGTCGAGTGGAGATAGACTGGTAGTTGTTTTAGCCATATAGTCTAGCTAGACAGAACGTCGCGCATATTGGGCGGCGGCATTGATGTTACAGGGAGTTGGATAAGCGCGTTCTAGGTTAGGCAGTTTCTAGGGTGATTGTGAAATGAGGGGAACGGTTGGAACGGACAGAACGGGTGACATGTGCGCTCAAGATGTAGGGAGTTTTGGGCGAATATATAGGGAGAGATGTAATAGGACGGGGATTGGAGATTCGGGTGCTGGGCGCGGAGCTGAGCACATGCGCGGATGCGCGTGTGCGGCGTTCTTTGTCTGTGTGTAAAGAGATGTGATGTGTCTAAGATATTAAAGATTGTACAGTTTACCACACAAGTTTGGATCTGTTTCTACATCATTTCGACATCAACCATCATTCCAACGTTACATTTTGGTGCTCATGACAGTCCAAAACCTAGGTATCCTTTTGCGGACACAACGCAAGTTACTTAATTCATATCGATCTACGGGCCAGCAACGAAACAGAGTGCCCCCTGGTCCGCGCGGCACGCCGCCGCCGCGCGGGCGCCCCCTGGTGGCCGACACGCACCTGCACCAAGCATCATGTTGCTGAGGGTGTACTGGACCTCGTTCTGAGCGGGAATGTCTTTCCACGTCGCGAGGAACACTCGCTTGTCCATCTGTCCGTCCTCGGTGAAGAAGACGTGGATCGGAATGATGCAGGCGAAATAAAACACATCCACGATGTTCTTTATCGCCACCTGCGAGCAAGAAATCGTCAACTCAGCAAAGTGGACGTTAAAACACAATCGAACACGAAATCACGCCACGATCTCTCTCGTTCCCCTCAAGCATCTCGTCCCGCACGCATCACACGCCGATAAACAAGCGAACACATCGGCTCCTCGCTCGGAGCGTTAAAACACGTCGGCACCGCGTGGCGGCGACGCACCTGTATGTTGGTGAGCGGATCCATCTTCTGTACAGGTCCGTTTGTGTTGAGCACCATCGAGGCATCAGTACTCTGGTTCGGGTTGATCGCGTGCGGTATGTTCAGCGGGGCCGCCGGTACCAGCCCGAAACTGTTCGACGCGAAAGAACAACATTTTTGTCAATAAGCTATCTATAAGCGATCTAATAACTAGCATCAAAATGGTCGTGGTAATGATGAGAGTAATAAAATTTTTGTCTTGTCTGTAAAACATGTAATTACTCTCATCATGACCACGACCACTTTAATGGTTAGTTATTAGATGGCTTATAGATAGCATATTGACAAAAATGTTGTTCTCTCACCAAAAAAGAAAAAACGTCGTGTAGGAATTTCGAAGTAAAAACTGAAATCTCTTCCGGCTCGACATGAGTTGTGCAAACACCTGTGTTAGACATGCAGTGTTCGATAACATTCGTCTGTCATGCACGACTCTATGGTCCTTTCCTCTCTCTCTCCTGCCCTTTCTCCCTCTCTCTCTCTCCCACCCTTTCTCCCTCCCACTCTTCCGCCTGCCCTTTCTCTCTCTCTCTCTCTCTCCCTCTCCAGCCCGTAAGCCCGTGTTGACAGCGACGAGCGGAGATGCTCACCTGTTTTTGTTCAGCTGGATGGCAAAGCCCTCCATCGGCTGCATCGCTTTGTTGCTGATCGTCACGTCCATGACGATCTGTCCACCGCGTCGGCTGAACGTCCCGGTTATCTCTAGTCCCTTCCCCTTCGCCGCCGGCAACCACATCTGTGCAGCAAACCGCAGTTTGTGTTTCAACAACGCATCCAACGACAACAGCAAAGCAATTTACGACAGCACAAACACTGCAATAATCTGTTTAATGTATGAAATAAGTTCATTGGATTTCGTTGAAAACTATGAATTCATATTTATCTTGTGTTAAATCCAAGAAATTTTTCCAAGTAATTTATTGGATTTAACACAAGATAAATATGAATTCATGTTTAATATAGTCATATATAATACCCGTGTATAAGGATCACTGAAGTATATATAAGGATCACCGATGCGAAATGCCCCAATGAGACCTTCATAGACTGGTCAGGTCTATAGTGGTGACTACTAACATAGGTTTAGCTATATAAGCAACTACTAACACCTGTTTAGCTATATAAGCAACTACTAACACCTGTTTAGCTATATAAGCAAACAACTAACACAGTTTATCGCAACCTACACCCTTAACTGATGCAAACACGCTAACACAGTTACAACCCACTCCTTAGCTTCGATGCCAAAGACACACCGACCACAGTTGGAACAGGGGTGAAACCCACTTGATCCTCTACTGATGCGCAAAAAAGTAGACACCACATTGCCGAGCCACAGTTACATTCGGGAACCACTCCTTACTGATAGCAAACAACCACACAGTTACAAACCACTCCTTACTGATGCAAAACCAACACAGTACAAACCAGCTCCCTTACGATGCAAACACGCACAACAGTTACAAACCAACCGCTGCGCGAACTTCAACACTTGAAAAGCCAAGAGGAAACAGGCCGGGAACACAGGCTGCCTACACCACCGGGCCACACGTCCTTACTGGATGGAAACACGGTCAGCGCTAGACCTTAATAACACAACGACGAAGCGTCAACTACTCCGTCAAGAGCCGTCCCGCGATCAATGTAGGGCCCCGACCGCCCCGACATCGCCCATAGTGCCACACACCATCTCCCCTTACTGAACAGAAACAGGCCACACCGCGCGACCCCCTGCACACACACCACTAGGCACAATAGATGAATGGGCCGCCGCATAATTTCTCATTTGAGCAGACCGGCTTGGGCGGCGAAGAGTAGCAACATAGATTCTTATGATGCTATATATATAATACTGCTCTAATACGGTACAGACAATTCACCTCAGTTACAGGCGACGCTATCTTCACCACCCGGCACAGACGCCAGCTCCGCCATCATTAGAACACGCGTTGGATTTTCGGATTAGGATGAGGCATTATGTCTCGGCCTCTAAAGCAGCCACGAAGCGGGGATCGTGAGCCCGGACATCCGTGAAAAAACGCGGGGTGAGACAATGTTGTGGACGTTACTCTGAGTCGACGGAGGAGAGTGGCGCCAACTGCAGGACCCTTGCAGGATAAGGGGAGGAAAGGTGTGGTAAGTGCACGAGGGGCGGAGGCTGACACTTTTGCGGGCAGAAACCGTCAGACTTGAGCGCAAGTGCCAATCATCCGCAAATGCCTAACATACGCAAAACCCCCAACTGTGAAAGAATAAACTAAAGACTATACCACAAACATACACTAACTGCCCGTTATCACCTCACTTATACCACACAAGTGCCTCGCCCAATAGTGGTGCCCAATGCACGCTGCAATTACATGCAACCATGCATCCACGGCACAATACGCACAGATGCTCATACACGCACGCACGGCACAAGCACGCACAACACACCACACAACACACACAGCCACACTTCAATCCTGCTTAACATAGTTACTTGACATCACAGCTACCAACTATAGTACCGGCCTGGCTTCCTTAACCCCCTGTACATGTCATAGGCAACTCAGAAACCATGAAATGCCATCACTGCATTAACAACAAGAGTGTGAAACAGCGTTCAGGCCACCTAAGCCAGGTAGTCGAAACCACCACCGAGGAGATCCATGGAAGCTGTGCTCTGTAACGGCCCTACCCTGAGAGCTGGGGCCTGGCTGCGTGGGCTGGCGTCTGGCCATGTCCAAGCTGAAGAAGGTCCACCGATGAGAAAATCCTGCAGATGGAAGACGGAGGTGGCTGAAGGCAAGTGGGGCAGCGGAGAGGTCGATGCTCTGCCGGTCATCCTCTGCACCTCCTCCTGATCTGCAAAGTGCAAGCGCTTCAGATAAGATTCAGACACGAGACGGTCCATTACGTAAATCATTAGCGGTAACGTGGTTCATCCGCATCAAGCCTCCTGATATCACAAGCTCAACGGGCACCTCCCGAGTGATGAGGCGTCTGTTGAGACCCACCGCGGTGTGAGAACCGGCAGTGTGATATGGGCATCCCAGCACATAAGACAGCGTCTCCAATGGCGCCCTCCGGTGTACACCATTATCATGTAGAATGATTTGCTAGTGTATACGGTGTTTTTAGCTAAGAGAGGAGAGGGGAATTTGCCACATTAGTTAGGCAAATCCACCCAGGGACGACCGGTGATGGACCGCAGAAGACGATTAGCGGCACACTTAAGAGAGGACATGAAATTTAACGTGGACAGAAGGCCATTTCAAAATGGTAAACGAACACATTAACTTCCAACCAACGGTAAATGCGCCCCGCCCGTGCTCCCCCAGGCTTCTATGCACTTAAGGCGCCCAATTCCCGGCCCGAAAGCCAGTCCCATCGACGGCTGGTTTCGGCGTCCTACCTGGTACCCGTTTACCGCCGGCCCCCCGCCGCGTACGCCCGCATCACCCCAAAGGGGCCCACCAAACGGTTGGTCGCGACCGTAGTTGTACCCACGACCCCGCACAGCCGCACACAAATGAGTAAACAGGTCGGAGGGACCCTGGAGCCGATCTGCGAACGCCCCACACTAAGCACGTCACAGCCGTCTTTGAGTGCCCCACGGGAAAGAAGTAGCGGCAACACTGCCCCGATCCGCCCAACTCTGCTACACTGGCTATTTTTATCCGTCGTTCCTGCAATAAAAACGCGCGTTTACAAAGTCTACCCCACCGGCTAAGGTACTGGTTTTCGATGGCATCAGCTGCTTCTTGGAACTCAATCTATCGATTCGACATATATTTCTACACAATCTAACACCTCAACGTAACATGCTCCCAATCTTCACTGATGCGCATCCATTTAAAGCAATCCGCAGTACCTCCAGCAACACCTGCTCGGACCCATACTGCCGCCACATTGTGAACTCTCCACAGTGTTTCTTAAAAATCAACGAAACCGCGGATGTAATTTGTCCTATGCCCATGATGCTGACAGCACCATATTCCATCCGTTTTTGTTTTGTCGGTCTAACTCTCGTAACGTAACGGAAATCTTCCCAACCCTTGGCCCCTTCCCCGCTCGGGTAATACCTGCTCCTACAGCCTCATCAACTAGCTCCTACCTACCCCAAAGACCACACGTCCATTGTCACCAATAAACTTTCTACTCCACCTCCTACATCTCCGACTCTACCGCAGTTTCGGAACAGTGCGCACTAACCTCCTAAACACCGCCGGCTTCCCTGCTACAAATGCGCTTCGTCGCCTTTGTAGAACAAACGCTCCTCACGATCCTCCTCCCTCCCTGTCTCCCGACAAAGCCCCACTCCCGTCCCTCTTCCTCCACCTGGCAGGGCCCCGATAACATCAAGTTTGCGTTTCCCTCAATAAACCCCGTGTTCGCCAGGACAGAGCTGAGCCTCCCCTATACACCAACAAGTACAAGGACACATCTCTACACCCGTAAACTGGACCCACACCCGAACCATGAGCCGAACGAGGTCACAGCCGCTCGTGCTCGTGGCCTTGTGGTCACGCACGGAGGCGAGCGAGGCGAATCTGTATATCCCGCGGAGTTCTACCCGCAATCTACGATGAACCTGTCCCCTGACATCTTGGAGAGCAAAATACCAGGGTCAGAATTAGGGAAAAAAGACTAACAAGAAATGGTAAAAAAAGAGAGATCAGGAAGATAACTCCAATAAGCACATCATGAGAGGAGAATGATAGAAAGTACAGCAAAAGAATAAAAGTTAACAACTAGTCAGAACCGAACAATTAATCATAGAAGAAGAGATAAATACAATCAACAAGAAGGAAATAACACGCAGAGGAAAAAATAATATAACCTTCTCGCAAAAAAAACGACAGCAAAAAAACAGGCCGCCTGACCCGGGCTCGGTCCTGTTCGCGATCGTAACGGGCGCGATGATCGGATCACGAGGATACGTCGAGCCGCGCAGTATCGACAGATGTAGCCGCGGGTCGCGCAGACGGCGGACTACGCTAAGAGGCTTCCCGAGCGCGGTCCCGGGTTTGTCACTGACTCGTGCTGCCAGGGGAAAAGGGAGAGCAAGCCATAGTTAGAAGGAGAAGTGAGAGAGGAAGCCATAGTTAGAGGAAGGGCAGAGAGGAAGCCATAGTTAGGAGGGAGAAAAAGTGAGAGAGAGAGAGAGAGAGAGAAAGATGGATGGAGGCGTATGGGAACGGAGAGAAAAGACAAAGAGGGATGAGAGAAGAGAGAGAGAAGAGAGAGAGAGAGAGAGAGAGAGAGAGAGAGAGAGAGAGAGAGAGAAGAGAGAGAAGCAAAGAGAGAGAGAGAGAGACGAGAGCGAAGAAAGAGAGAGATGAAAAGAGCACCCATACGATCAAGACTTAACTGCAGCCAGCGAGCCCCAAACGCAGCCCTTGGCAAGCGGTAGCCCCCCGAGAGAGAGACAGCCCGCGAAACACAACAACAGCAATGCTCACCCCAGCGCCACGCGGGGCAGTTGGTGGTGTGTGGCCCACTCGACCGGGGGGGGGCACGAGCTGATTGAAGGGGACCCGGCCAAGGGGCGGGCCGCCACCACCAAGCCCACCGCGTGGCTGAGGCTTGAGCACTCATTGCGGGGTGGCAAAGTGCCACTAGCTTCCTTGCAA